GAAAACATGATCAGAAAGGATATATGCACCCCTATGTTCATTACAGCACTGCTTACAATAGTCAAGACATGGAAGCAACCTAAATGTCCATTGACAGAGGAACAGATAAACAAACTGTGATACATATATGCAATGTGATATTACTCAGCCATTAAAAAGAATGAAATAATGTCACTTGCAGCAACACGGATGGATCTAGAGTTTGTCATCCTGAGTGAAGTAAGTCAGACACAGAAGGAGAAATATCATAAGATATTGCCTATATGTGAAATCTAAAAAGAAATGATACAAATGAACTTATTTACAAAACAGAAACAAAGTCACAGATTTAGAGAACAAACTTATGGTTACCAGGGCCAAGAGTGAAGGGAAGGGATAATGAGGGGGTTTTGGGGTTGACATGTATACACAGCTGTATTTAAAACCTATAACTAACAAGGATCTATTGTATAACACAGGGAACTCTGTTCAATGTTATGTAGCAGCCTGGATGGGAAGGGAGTTTGGGGAAGAATGGATACATGTATATGTATGGCCAAGTTGCTCTGCTATGCACCTGAAACTATTACATTGTTAACGGCCTATATTCCAATGTAAAATAAAAAGTGTGTGTGTGTTGTTTTTTTTTTTAAGATAATACATTACCACATTAAAAAAAAAAAAAAAAAACCTGGTACAGAAAAACAGGAAGTGAACTGAAGTGAAGTGAAAGTCGCTCAGTTGTGTCCGACTCTGCGACTCCAGGGACTGTATAATCCATGGAATTCTCCAGGCCAGAATACTGGAGTAGGTAGCTGTTCCCTTCTCCAGTGGGTCTCCCCAACCCAGGGATCAAATTCAGGTCTCCCACATTGCAGGTGGATTCTTTACTAGCTGGGTCGCCAGGGAAGCCCGAAAAACAGGAAAGTACTGGGAAATTCTAAAGCAGCCATGGTTAAGAAAAGTGCACTTTGGCAAAAATAATCATGATGACTTCTGAAAGAGCTTTCTGAAAGAGCTGCTTAACATACTGGTATGCACCCCAACTCCCCAGAATGTTAGGCCATGATTAAGAAAATCTGTTTTTATAACAAGTTATTACTTCACTGAACAGGGATTATCATCAGCAATTCTGTTGTCTTATCAAGAGATCCATGATGCCTTTTCAGAGAAAAGCAACTCCCGTGGCTGGTCATAATAGTAATTCAATTATATAGCCCCTACTATGTGCCCTACTTAGTTAAGCTTTCCTGATAGCTCAGTTGGTAAAGACTGAGTCGGACATGACTGAGGGACTTTCACACTAGTGCCAGGCCCTGTTCCTCATAACAAACTTACGATATAGGTATTATTATAATATCCATTTTACAGATGAGGAAATTGAGGCATGGAGAGATTAGATAATTAGCTAAAAGTCATGCAGTTTGTCAGTATTGCAGCCAGGCTTCAAACATAGGTGGTCTGGCCCCATGGCTTCTGTCTTGGAATTCCAACCTATCTCTCTAATATTTGACTTCCAAGAATGAAGACCTGCCATGGAAAGAGTGAACATATGGCGCAACTTCCACAGGGAATCTGGAAATAAGGAAGCCCTCAGAGATAAAGAATCAATTGAGATTGGCCTCAACCACAAGTCTGCTATGTCAATTAAGAGCCTGAACAACTCCAGAACTGTAGACTCCTTGAGAGCCACTTCAAGGGATTAGCTAATCTAGATAGGCAGTCAGTCAGTCTCAAGTGGTACTGGTAAGCCATGGAAGGTGGAAAAGGAGTCTGTGACCAGCTGTTTTGGGCAAGCAGTGACCGGTAAGAAGCAGCTATGTACTGCCTGAAATGCCCAGTCCTAGGGAGAAGCAGATGAATCAGGTCCTCAGCCTGAGAATCCCTGATATATTTTTTATCCCAGGTAGTTTGATTACAGTGAGAATGTGCCCGGAGCAGGCTACACAAATAACTGGATTGTTAAAAATCAGTTTCCTTGTATCCAATTAGCTCTGGAGAACGGCAAAGAATGAATTTCTAGAGTCTATCCCTGAGAAACCCAGGGCCAGATCTGAAACTCACTTTACCAAGGCACATGCCACTTTATGAGTGTCTTGGCAACCAACCCATGTCTTTCCCTAGTGACAACCTGACTGCCCTATATATATGACTAGAAAAACTGGTAATTCCCTGGTGGTCCAGTGGTTAGAACTCCATGCTTTTATTGTCGACGGCTTGGGTTCAATCTCTGGTTGGGGCCACAAGCCGCTGGGATCCTAAAACACACGTGGGGCTTTCAGTCTGGAAAGATAAATGCAATGTGATTATGTTTGAAGTCTATAATAGACTGAGGCCAGAATCAGGGACTCAGTTTAAGAAGCAGTTTCTTGCAGGGTGATATTTTCCTAAATAAACAGTGCCCCATCTTCAGAAAAACAATGTCTCCACCTCACTCTTTAGGCTACCCACTCCATCTCCCAGAACATTTAAAACAATCCCAATAATCTAAAAGGAGACCAGGAAAGGGAGAAAAGTTTCTGCCATTTCCGTTTCCGGGACACTCCCCAGCCTGTCCCAGGTGCGTTCAAATGAGCACTCTAAGTGGGCTAAGAGGCGGCATCCACACCAGCGCCTCCAGAATGTGCAGGCAAATCACGGGTCAGGAGCCAGGGAGTGATCACTTCTGAGCTCAGAAGCTGAGGCAGCTTCAGAGACTGAAAAAATGTAACAGTGATAAGTGGTCACGTTGCGAAAGCTAAGGCTTTGAAATCTGGTAACTGCACATACTGGTTGATGGAAGACAGTAGAACAAGAACCCATAAGGCGCTTTTAGGAAGGGATAGACCTGCTGAACCTCACCCTACTCTTGTGCAAGGTCAGCACAGAAAAGGGATTAGGAAATAAAATGAATCCTCTCTCATTTTAAATAAATTGTCTCTTAAATGTTACTTTTGAAGTCTTTCAGGTTGTTTTTTTTTAAACTTAATCTTAGTTGTACTCATTGGGAATGAAACAAATAAAACCCAGCCCCCCCCCCCCCCCCCCCCNCCCCCCCCCCGCATCCCCAACACACACACCCTCCTTTTGCTTTTGAAGCAAAGGGTACAGTTCAGTGTCAATACCTGTAGGAATAAAACCTTATTTAAAACCTGTTTTATTAAGAGGGGAGTAGTCAAGTATGTGCCTTTTTGCATTTCAGCTGCCTCCATTTGTTGTGTATCTTTATGCAAATCATTGAACTTGCTCAATCTCAAACTTTCTCATCTGTAGAACAGGGATACTAAACCTATTTAGGATCGTGTTATTGTTGTTGTTTAGTGGCTAAGTCCTGTCAGACTCTTTGCCATTCCATGGACTGTAGCCCGCCAGACTCCTCTTTCCGTGGGATTTCCCAGGCAAGAAAACTGGAGTGGGTTTCCTTCTCCAGGGGATCTTCCTCACCCAGGGATCAAATCCACGCCTCCTGCGTTTTCTGCATTGGCAGGCGGATTCTGTTTTACCACTATGCCACCTTGGAAGCCCATTTAGGATTGCAGTGAGCAGTATATGCAAGAACATAAATCTTTGGGTACACTGTCTAGCACATTTCAAGCTAACAATACCAGGTTGCACTTCTCAACACTTTAAACCAAAGCCACTGTCAAAAAGAAAAAAAGTGGCAACCTGGATCACACTCTATGATGAGAATAAATATTTTTAGATGTCCTTTGGCTGACTTTTTTAGGATCAGCCAAGAATCAGCAAAGCCAAGAGCCGTGCCGGAGCGAACCGATTTGTCTGCCAAGAATTCCGGCCAGCACTTTCTAAGTTCGGAGAAACACACCCCCAAGTCCTCGTCCGGGGCCATCCCCGAGCGCCAGCAGGGCTGGAGCAACCCGGGCCGTCCCCCACCTAGGCAGAAGCGCGTTCCTTGGCGTCCACCCAGAAAACAGACGGACACCCGCGGGAAGTCAGCTTGAGTGGAGTCTGGAGCGCACGGGGCGGCACGCGCGCAGAGGGGAGCGCGCGGGCTCCCAGGGGTCCCTCCCGACGCCCCCAGCAGGGGCGGCACACTGGGCGCGCGGCTCACCTGCCTGGCTCGGAGGCACCGCGGCGGCCAGAAGCAGCAGGAGCAGCGGCAGCCGGGCCGGCGGCGGGGGCAGCCCGAGGTGCTCATCCAGGCTGTGGCGGGACATTGCTCGGCGGCCGCGATCTCCGCTCCGCTCCGCTCGGCAGGACCAGGCAGCTGCTGGCAGAGCGGTTCTGGGGCCGGCAGCGGGGCGCCCGGACGCGGAGGTTCGGGCGTCTTTCTTAACTTTCCTCTCTCATAAGCCCGGCCTGTTTGGGGCTTTTTAGGGGCGAGGAAGCCTCACGTGGTCTTGAGGACAACCTTCGCCCCGCAGGGCCCGTCTGGGAAGGGCGGGTCCTTTCTGACCCTCTAGCGCCCCGTGAGCCGGGCCGGGCTGGTTCCCCTCCTGCACTCCTGGGACCTACGTGCTGCTTTTTCCGCACTCCGTCGGGCGGTTTGGCGACCCAGGGCTGGGACAGATCAGTTCACGTCCACACCGCTGGCCTCCAGGGCCGGCCACTGGTCTGCAGCAGCGGAGAGGGGGCGTCCTGGGCAGTGTAGAAATGCATACCCCTGCCTACACGCAGCTCCGATTCCTCGCCCTTTCGGAGAGGGCTTCCCAGGTGCTTACAACTCAGGGTTTACAGCCCCTCTCCATCCCCGCTGTTTAACCTGAATCCATTTGCTACCGCTCAGGACTTTGGGTCGTTTGTTTTTCTCTTCATTGGCGGGAGCCACCACTGGCGAGTGATTCAGATCAGATAGGGCTGAAACCAGAGTTATCCCAGAAAACTCCTGTGAAGTCCCCATTTCTGTGCGGGGTCAGTTGAAAGTGACATTGTGAAGTAGGCAACACCGTGCCTTGGAGGACATTGTGAAGGTGGCAGAGGGTGCCCTAGGTGACATTGTGAAGTAGGCAAAAGGCATTTTATTCATCCAATAAGCTTCTGTTGAGCCCACCTTATGTGTCCCATACAGGTGGTATAAAGACCATTAAGACCACGGTCTACAGCAGGCCAGAAGCGACAAAGCCCTATAAATAAACACGTACCGGAAGTTGCCATTAGTGCTGTAAGAGAGCCCTGCTTACCTATGACTGCATCCACCTGGGGACCAAGGCACCGCCTTCTCCATCTTTCTTCTGAGCTTAACCGAGGTGTTGAGGGGAGATGGGAAGGGAGGAAAAGAGGCACCTTTCCTAGAGGGCAAAACACATCTGTCATGCTAGGAAAGATGTAAAACAATTACATCAGATCTCTATGCAAATTGTTAAACACATCATGTAAGCCTGTTTCTTTTCCAAAAGGTGTAATTAACTTAGCATTTAAACACTTATGCACTGATGGCAAAAATTTTAGCATGCCAAATTTAAGGTTACTCAATCTCATTTGGACTAAATTCTAAGCATTCTTCACCTCCTCCATATTCTTTGCTCCCCTCCTTAAGGTTCATCTTTGTTTCAGGGGGCTTATGTGTTGACTGGGTAGATGGCATCTACTCTGGTGGCCTTTTTGGCTTGGTGACCTCCAGTGAGATGTAGTTCATCTCTTCTGGTCCTCCTGTGGTACAGCAGTGGCAGGAATCCACTGTTGACATCTGAGGTTCTTGGCCTCACGTCTGGATTCCTACATGCTCTGTGTATTAGTTAGGTAATGACAAACTCCCAAAGTTCGATGCGTTAATGCAACTGAAATGTATTCCTGACTCATGTACAAGTCTAATGTGGGAGTTCTTTATTGGTTGGTGGCTTTCTTTCATGTGGGAATTAGGAACCTGGTATCCTTTCATCTGTGGTTCCACCATTCCCTAAGGCAGATGTCCCCATCTTTCTTGGTTCATAGTGCCCTGAGAATCTTGGGACTGCAGGCCAAAAGAAATATCTAACAGTTTCTTTTATTAATTAGTTAGGGTCAAACAATTTATCAGTAGTAATTTACCCAGTGTCCTAGATGGTACTATGTTTTCCTCAAAGATTTATAATATCTCAAATGCTCCCTTTAGTTCACTGTGGTATGTTCCACTGATACTGTTATTTCCCATGAATATTTAGCATATCCTAGGTCTCTTGCATTGCAGGCAGGTTCTTTACTGTCTGAGCCATCAGGTAGCCCTTGTGAATTCACTGTGGTTGTCAAACTGGATACAGGAACCATCACCCAAGGGACTTGGAATGTTTTCTTCTAACCAGAAGAGGAGGAAAGAATATGGGACAGCTCTCCTACTTCTTATTCACTTCCACTCACATTCCATCAACAGTAGCTAGACATATTGCCATACCTGGATGCTGAAGAGACTGGGAAATGCAGCCTCTGGCTGGGATGTCACCTCTCAGCATGGAAAGAAAATGTACATTTTGGGGGAAGGAAGCTGGCTGTCTCTGGCCCTCTCGGCAATCTCTCCATCCAGACTTGGATTCTACTGGATCCTCTGACTCATTCTCAGACCCCTCTGATCCCTCTATGTGTGTGAAGGAGGGGGGGGAGCTGGGGTGGAGTAGGGACTCAAAGATCCTCTGACTTGGGGTGTGTTAGTCAGCCTCCCCAAACAGTGCCCTCTATCACTGCTTATCTGCAATTCACATGTCATTGTAGGGCAGATAACTCCTGGCAAATTCATGAGCTACATTCTGAGAAGTTTAAACACAGCCTTCTCTGCTCTGGTAACTCTAGACCTATTTGGAGTTTCTATTACCAAATGCTCCCACATCCCGCCCCACCCATCAAATAGGCGACTCATCTCCTAGAGGAAGGGTGGTACTGGCCCTTGCATCAACCCACTGGGTCTTTCTCTTATCAGCTCTTCAAACTTTGTAGTTGTTTGCATAAGAGTTATTATACATTCTTATATATTATTATCTTTTAAACATTTATTATCTACTGTATACCTTATTATGTATTCCTCTTATTCCAATTTATTGTTCTTGAATATTTTTCACACCACTTTATTTCAATCTTTGCCTTTCAATTGTCCAAGCCCAACTGTTGAATATTTCAACATATTTTTCTCTCTCAAATGCACACATTCTACATTTGAATGACTTTGAATATTATGGTTTGTGTCTACACAAGACCTCAAAAAGTCACAAGCCCTACTCTTTGGTTTTTTCATTACTTTTGACTCCTCCTTCCTTGAGAAACAAGTCTTAGCTTCTTGGATTTAATCTACTACTGGAAAATTTACTAAGTTTTACTAAATGTGTAGGATAGTATTCAACTTCCTTCTGTATATTTACTTCTGTAGTTAATTTTTCTTGTATTTATTTATTATTTTCCTACATTCATTTTTGTGCAGGTTGTTTTGGTAGTTGAACTTACATTTGGTACTTTGAGATCAGATTGTTGAGTTCTGACTGCTGCAGAACCAAAGAAAAGATGGACATTCCTAGGCTCAAGCTAAATGCCTGTGGAGCTTGTCTTGCTCACTTATAACACAGTTCTGTACTGAGCATCACTAACTCAATGGACATGAATTTGAGAAAACTCTGGGAGATACTTAAGGACAGGGGAGTCTAGTGTGCTGAAGTCCATGGGGTCACAAAGAGTCAGACATGACATAGCAATTGAACAACTGTACTATATCCCTATCCTCTCTTCTACTCACTTGCTTGCACTTTATATAAGCTGCCATCCATTGTAATGTCCAGACTGCAGGTGTTTTGTAAATTGGTTACATAAAAGAGGGGCTGCCATTGGTCAGCCATTGTAAGGCCACTAGCACATCTTAGTTTTGGGACCACAGTATAAGGGTGAGACGTGAATCAGGCTTGGGTTGACTGAAGTAGATGGGGCAGAGTTTAAAAGAGAAGTTGCTATATCAATTGAATACTGATTAGAGTAGATGCTTAGTAGCATAGAGTAGATGGGATAGAGTAGATGATTTATATCATTATCTTTCTCTACAGATAACTATAAACTTTTTATCCATCTGATAGGCATCCTGGTCCCCATCTTTACATTCCAAAGAGGCTGAAAAAGGCTGAACACGCTTGAGGCCAAGCACATTTTCTTCATTGTTTAAGAGATGTAATTTTTTTGCCTGACATTTCTTTTTTCATAATTTTTCTATTTCTTTGCTAAATTCAGTGGCTATCTCCTGGAGTCAGTTCAGTCGCTTAGTTGTGTCTGACTCTTTGCAGCTCCAGGACTGCAGCATGCTAGGCTTCCCTGTCCATCACCAACTCCCAAGGCTTGCTCAAACTCATCTTCATTGAGTTGATGATGCCATCCAACCATCTCATCCTCTGTTGTCTCCTTCTCCTCTGGCCTGCAATCTTTCCCAGCATCATGGTCTTTTCTAGTGAGTCAGTTCTTCGCATCAGGTGTCTGAAGTACTGCAGTAGATGCCACCAATTTCTCTATTTACTTGCCTTCCCCCATTCTTAATTATCTTAGTATTTTCTCTTCTTTCTACAGACAGAAATACCAATGCCAAGTAAAAACAATTAACAAAATGCAACCCTTTTTTAGTTCTGTTTAATCTTGACTACAGATGCAAAATATTTCTGTATTAAATGTCCCAGGTCTTCTTTCAGATTATAAAAAAGGATTTAAGCCTAAACCATGTATAACAGTGAATAAATGAAAAGTGTTTGATCAAGATTTGGTTGGTCTAGTTGCTACTGATATTTTTAAAGGAAGACAACAAGGATACAAATCTTAGGCAGTTCATTCTTGGAAAGTGGATAGAAATTAAATGTAAATAAAACCCAGGGTCAAAACCCATGAAAATGTTACTAGGAAAAGATTCTATTTCAGTCTAGCTGAGTAAACTAGATGAACATCCCCTGGATACAGAGAACTGTGTTCTCAACTGTGCATATCAATCTTCCAGAAAACTGCAGTCTGAGAAAGGAGTACTAGGGAGCATTGCCAAGAGAAATTTGAATACTCTCTCTGTTGAGAAACACACTGTCTACTAGCTCTTTCAGTGTAAAGATGAGTAATCAGAAACAAGAACCAGCACAACATGGAGTCTTTTAGAAATATTGCCATATGAGGGGAAAGGAACATCATCCTGAAAGCTCAAATTAACTATCAATTTTAGGAACCCAAAGAAATCTGAGGAAAATAATATTAGCATCTTCTGTAGGATATGAGAAGATAGGCTGTGTTTATCAAGAGAAGAAAATTTATAAAGAAAAACAGGTTGAGAAGAAAAGGCATGAGATGAAATGGGAGATGGATAGAATAAGAGAGGGTTAATAGAAAACTAAAAATTTCATTGTCTTATTGACTTTCCATTGGAAGCTATGAATGAAGAGCAGAAACTGACACTGTTGAAAATAGAGTCAGGAATTTGACACAAAAATTGATGAGGCCCTCCAAAAAAATAGAGGGGAAAGATAGAAATGAAAAGGAAGATAAAGATGAGAGACACAAAACAGTCTACAGTCCAACCTAAGAATGACATTCTTACTGAAAATTAAGATCAAATAAAGTCAAACAGAAGCACTGATCAAAACACTCTCAGGAAAACTTTCCTGAGCTGAGTGCTTTTCCGGATATGATGTGATGGGAGGTGCACAACATCACTTACGTTGTAATCGTGGCAATATTTTTTGCCTAATCAAATCATGGGGATCATATCTGGCTGGGGCCAGCTTCACGGGCACATGACCTGTGTGGTGACATATCCCCTATCCTCGATGGTGAGAGATGCACAACAATGTGGACGCACTTAGTGACACTGGGCTGGACAGTTAAATAGGGTTACAATAGTAGGTTTTGCATTTTGTGACTTTTATTGCATCTGGACTACAGATGCAAAATATTTCTGTATTAAATGTCCCAGATCTTCTTCCAGGTTATAAAAAAATGATTTAAACCTAAATGGTTTATAACAGTAAAAAAAAATTTTTAAATGGCAAGATGTGTTCTAAATATAAATTATAAATGAACACTATAGTAAGTTACCAGTTTATAATCTTACAATCTCTAACTTGCTCTAAGCAAAATAAAAAATTAAAGTTTCAACAATCTTTCCTGCAAAACAAAAATAAAAATATATATATAAACACACACACACACACACATCATCATCATCATCCTTAGAAGGGACCCACGCTTGGCTTAACGTCCTGCTGCCACTTGTCCTGAAATTCTTACTAATTTCTGAACAGACAGTCTTGCATTTTCATCTTGTGTGGGGCGTCACAAATCATATAGCCATTCCTGAATCTGCCAAATCCACATTGTGGGACATTCTGCAAGACAACTGGCCTATATTATTTTTTAAAATGTCAGTTACTTAATAGATGTCCCCTTCCCCACCCCTCAAAAACCCACTGCCTAGAAAAAGCATGAAGTACTCTTCCAGGTTAAAGGCAGTTAAGGAGACACGATGACCCAAAATATTAATAATGTGTAAGCTTTAATTGGATCTTGAGTGGGTATATGTGTATGATGGGGGGATATCTACAAAAGACATTTTAGGGGAGAATATTTGGAAAAAATTAAATAAATAAGGACTATATATTAGATGGCATCGTACATTTAAATATTTATTGGGCATGAAAATTGCATTCTGTGTATGCAAAAGGAGGTCCTAGATTTTAGCCAATACAGGCTGTGGTCAAGTGTCATGATGTTTGCAACTTACTTTCAAATGGTTTGGTAAAGATAAATGCATGTAGTTTGGTCCGTAAATCTCGTCTGACTCTTTTTGCAACCCAATGGACTGTAGCCCTCCAGGCTCCTCTGTCAATGGGATTCTCCAGGCAAGAATAATGAAATGGGTTGACATTTCCACCTCCAGGGGGATCCTCCCAGCCCAGAGATCGAACCCACGTCTCTTGCATTGGCAGGCAACTCTTTGAGGCACCAGGTGCCTCAAATGCCCATATATGCATTTGGGTGCACCATATATGCACCCAAATGCATATATGGACACAAATAAAATAAATATGACCAAAGAACTCCCACAATAATCCTCTCGGCAAACTTCTTTTCTAAGGGGGAGTTTTAATGAGTATTTGTCCACTGACTTTCTAATTGGTCTACATCTCCAGACTCTCCCTTTCCGTGGCCACTAATACCTAAGTCCTGGCATCTCCTCCCTGTTCTCTTTCAGCAACCAGCAGATGACTTCTCTTAAACACAGATGCTCTCAAGCCTGAACTCATCAATCTACTGGCCCTGGTCCTGGAGGTTAAAACTTTACCTTTTAAACTTATCAAAGCCTTCATTCAATAAAGGTAAGTCTCTCCCTAGGGGTAACTGCCTATCAACTATTAAGAAAACAGTAGGTTCTGAATGGTATATAGGAGGAGAAAAAAAAAAAAGAAAACCCAAGAACTGTGATTGTTCCAGTGAAGGGAAAATGGAAAATGTTACCTGCAAAGTAGTAAAAAAGAAAAAAAAAAAAAAAAGCTGATTGGCTTTGCCGTTCAAGAATCATCTACAGCCTTTGTTGAGAGAAAAGGCTGTGGCCGTGAAATTTTATACTGAGTTCATTTTAGCTCATGTGTTAAGGTAACCAGTGTTCAAGGACTCAGAAAATAGAACTGCATGAATCATTTTTGAAAGAATTACTTTGATACAGTTCAACAGACTGGATGACAAGTCAAAATTAAGAAAAATAGGGAAATTATGTAAAAATTTAGAGAATCTTTACATGGTTTAGTAACTTCAGGACCCCACATTCAGGAATCTAGTGGGTTCTGTATTCTCCAATGAATTCTGCTAGCAAGGTGGTAGCTCACCCTTCTGTGCTTCCATTAGCAAGACTGTTTTTTTCCTCTTCCCCTTCTTGCCCACTGACACAAGGTGGATTTCTCAAGTTGCATTTTCCACAATGCAATGTGGATTGAGTCCCTCCCTGCTGTGGTTGATAACTTGTAAGAGCTTTTCTGCTCAGCTCTTTACCAAGCAATTTGATTGAAACACTGTGTCAATAAGAATTACCTAACAGAAGTCAAGTTGCATAAAAAAAACCCATAATGGCTATTTTCATTGCCAAATAAATTGAGCAATGATTTTTCTACATCCTGGCAACTCCTCTTGAAAAAATGTGTCATGTTTTTTTAAAAACTGGCTATGAAAAACAATTTTTTTTTTAAAATCGCTCAGTTATGTCCAACTTTTTGCAATTCTGTGGACTATAGCCTATAAGACTCTTCCGTCCACGGGAGTCTCCAGGCAAGAGTATGGGAGTGGGTTGCCATTTCCTTCTCCAGAAACACAAATTAGTCAGGGGCAATTGCTTAGCAGTTATGAAGCCCATCCTCTTATTGTTCTAGGGAATGATCAATCTTATTCATTAGGCTTAGTGGTGTGGGGTCTTGGCTAAGCAAAACTAGGATTCATGTTTGCACATGTCTGATGAATGCATGTGTCCACATGTATCCATCTGCCTGAATTGAGTTGTGCTAAGGAAGGAAACTGGAGAAGTAGTTTTGTGTTGAGCACCTGGGGGAAAGCAGAATAGGTGGGGAGAAAGATGAGTGGGTGGGGAGAAAGATGAGTGGGTGGAGAGAAAAGCATGGTACCTCTTCCATAATTTGCCTGCCTTGTTAACTTGGTTTCAAAGATTGAAGAGTAAGGGGCTTCAGGCAGAAGCAACAGATTTCAAGGAGTTTTTGAGACTTGGAGCCATTAGATCATTGTTCTGATGCCGGACGACACATGGGCCATGGAGTAGAGAGAAGAAACATGGCTTCCACAAGTAAAAACTGCAAGGGGGCCAAACTGCACTGACACTGGTAAAGACAAAGTGTATGTATATGGAAAAACCCTATGATAATGCTATGAGTGAAAGTGAAAGTGTTAGCCACTCAGTCGTGTCTGATCTTTGTAACCCTATGGACTGTAGTCCAGCAGGCTGCTCTGTCCACGGGATTCTCGAGGCAAGAATACTGGAGTGGGTTGCCATTCTCTTTTACGGGGGGGGGGGGGGNGGGGGGGGGGGGTGTCTTCCTGACCGAGGGACCAAACCTGGATCTCCCGAATTGCAGGCAGATGTTTTACCATCTGAGCCACCAGGGAAGCCCTCACAAATTAAATAGTTTAACATCACGGACACCCTTTTGCAAGGTGGTTGTTACTGTTTGGCCTCTAAGTCGTGTCCAACTCTTTTGTGACCCTACAGACCAAAACCTGCCAAGTTCCTTTGCCCATGAGGATTCTCTAGGCAAGAATACTGGAGTGGGTTGCCATGCCCAGCTCCAGGGGATCTTCCCAGCACAGGGATCAAACCCTGTCTCCTGAATTGGCAGGCCGGTTCTTTACTGTCTGAGCTACTGAAATGAAAATGGTGACTGGGAGGAGGAAGGGAATCAATCAACAATTGTATCATAACCAAATTTGTTTTACTGCATGCATATTCTTATATTCAGTTCAGTCGTCAGTTCTGTCTGACTCTTTGCGACCCCATGGAGTGCAGCATGCCAGGCTTCCCTGTCCATCGCCAATTCCTTGAGCTTACTCAAACTCATATCCATTGAGTTGATGATGTAATGCCATCCAACCATCTCATTCTCTGTTGTCCCTTTCTCCCACCTTCAATGCATCCCAGCCTCAGGGTCTTTTTCAATGAGTCAGTTCTTCGCATCGGGTGGCCAAAGTATTAGAGTTTCAGCTTCCGCATCAGTTCTTCCAAAGAATATTCAGGACTGATTTCCTTTAGGATTGACTGGTTTGATCTCCTTGCAGCTCAAGGGACTCTCAAGAGTCTCCTCCAACACACAGTTCAAAAGCACCAATTCTTTGGTGCTCAGCTTTCTTTATACTCCAACTCTCACATCCATACATGACTACTGGAAAAAACACAGCTTTGACTAGACAGACCTTTGTTGGCAAAGTAATGTCTCTGCTTTTTAATATGCCATCTATGTTGGTCATAGCTTTTCTTCGAAAGAGGAAGCGTCTTTTAATTTTATGACTGCAGTCACCATCAGCAGTGATCTCAGAGCCCCCAAAAATGAAGTCTGTCACTGCTTCCATTATTTCCCTATCTATTTGCCATGAAGTGATGGGACCACATGCCATGATCTTAGTTTTCTGACTGTTGAGTTTTAAGCCAACTTTGTCACTCTCCTGTTTTACTTTCACCACGAGTTTCTTTAGTTCTTCTTCACTTTCTGCCATAAGGGTGGTGTCATCTGCATATCTGAGGTTATTGATATTTCTCCTTGCAACCTTGATTCTAGCTTGTGCTTCATCCAGCCCATCATTTCTCATGATGTACTCTGCATATAAGTTAAATAAGCAGGGTGACAATATACAGTCTTGACATACTCCTTTCCCAATTTGGAGCCAGTCTGTTGTTCCAGGTCCACTTTTAACTGTTGCTTTTTGACCTACATATACATTTCTCAGGAGGCACATCAGGTAGTCTGGTATTCCCATCTCTTGAAGAATTTTCCACAGGTTGTTATGATCCACACAGTCAAAGGCTTTGAAGTAGTCAATAAAGCAGAAGATTTTCTGGAACTCTCATGCTTTTTCAAAGATCCAGTGGATGTTGGTAATTTGATCGCTGATTCCTCTGCCTTTTCTAAATCGTGCTTGAACATCTGAAAGTTCACCATTCACATACTGTTGAAGTCTGGCTTGGAGAACTTTGAGCATTACTTTGCTAGCGTCTTAGATGAGGGCAATTGGGCAGTAGTTTGAGCATTCTTTGGCATTGCCTTTCTTTGAGATTGAAATGAAAGCTGACCTTTTCCAGTCCTGTGACTGGAGTTTTCCACTGCTGAGTTTTCCAAATTTACTGACATATTGAGGTGATCACACCATCGTGGTTATCTGGGTCATGAAGATCTTTTTTGTATAGTTCTTTTGTGTATTCTTGCCACTTCTTCTGAATATTTTCTGCTTCTGTTAGGTCCATACCATTTCTGTCTTTCCCATTCTATTGTTTTCCTCTATTTCTTTGCATGGATCACTGAGGAAGGCTTTCTTATCTCTCCTTGCTATTCTTTGGAACTCTGCATTCAAATGGGTATATCTTTCTAGGATGTCTGGTTCTAGGTGAGTGATCACACCATCGTGATTATCTGGGTCATGAAGATCTTTTTTGTATAGTTCTTCTGTGTATTCTTGCTACCTCTTCTGAATTCCTTCTGTTTCTGTTAGGTCCATACCATTTCTGTCCTTAATTGTGCCCATCTTTGCATGAAATATTCCCTTGGTATCTCTAATTTTCTTGAAGAGATCTCTAGTCTTTCCCATTCTATTGTTTTCCTCTATTTCTTTTCTTTTCTCAGCCATTTGTAAGGCCTCCTCAGATGACCATTATGCATTTTTGCATTTCTTTTTTTTGGGGATCGTCTTGATCTCTGCCTCCTGTACAATGTTACAAACCTCCCTCCATAGTTCTTCAGGCACTCTGTCTGTCAGATATAATCCCTTGAATCTATTTGTCAGTTCCACTGTATGATAGTAACGGATTTGATTTAAGTCATACCTGAATGGTCTGACTTGCCAACATGCACTGGATCATCAAAAAAGCAAAAGAGTTCCAGAAAAACATCTATTTCTGCTTTATTGACTATNAGATCCAACCAGTCCATCCTAAAGGAGATCAGTCCTGGGTGTTCATTGGAAGGACTGATGCTGAAGCTGAAACTCCAATACTTTGGCCACCTGATGCGAAGAGCTGACTCATTTGAAAAGACCCAGATGCTGGGAAAGACTGAATGCAGGAGAAGAGGGGGATGACAGAGGATGAGATGGTTGGATGGCATCACCGACTCAATGGACATGAATTTGGGTAAACTCTGGGAGTTGGTGATGGACAGGGAGGTCTGGCATGCTGCAGTCCATGGGTTGTAAAGAGTTGTTTACACGACTGAGCTGAACTGAACTGAACTGAACTGAAATGCCCCAAGCTCTGAAGAAGACATTCCACTAAGACTCTCCAAATAAATAATCAGCTTGGTAAAAGCAGTGATCTTGCTCTTTGATCTCCAAGACTGGACCCCGGCTCTTCCTCTCAGCCACATTGCTTCACAACTCTGTATGTATACATTCTGATGCTCTTAAGAGAATGACTCTCTCCCTTTTAAGACATTATATTTTCTATCAAACAGCTGTTGTTGACACTAGGGTCTGAAGGCATAGGGAATGACTTATTTTTACTTTCCTTCTTATCTCTCTCTCTTATTCTGGTCAGTGACACATAATGTAACCACTATGGGTATGTTGTTTCTAGAACCAAATCAGATGGTTTTAAATCTTCACTTTGCCACTAACTAGGCAAGTAACTTCATAGCTCCATATCTTTATTTTCTCACATTTATAGTGGGAATAATAATGCTAGTACCTGCCTCACATGTGTATCGTAAGTATCAGAGTGAATAGACTTAAAGTGATTTAACAATACCTGTGTGATAGAAGGGGCTTCCATGGTGGCTCAGATGGTAAAGAATCTGCCTGCAATGCAGGAGACCCAGGTTCGATTCCTGGGTCAGGTGATAGAAGATTTCACAAGTGGCCTCTTGATTCAGTTTTTAATCAGGGCTAAAAAGTCTCCATTCATGTGAAAGAATTAGAAGTTTTCAGAGTAAAGTTTCTAGTCTACCTGAATAAACCAACCTGATTTATAGCTAATGTGATTTTATTTTTAAAAACTTTATTATATCTATCAATTTGCACTTACTGGAAGCCTATTCAATTGAATTAATGAAAAATTTGACTTATCCTTAAGAAACATTTCTATATTTTATTATAAACTATAACATGACTTGTACTATTATCAGTTCAGTTCAGTTCAGTCACTCATTCATGTCCAACTCTTTGCGACCCCATGGACTGCAGCACTCCAGGCCTCCCTGTCCATCACCAACTCCCAGAGTTTACCCAAATTCATGTCCATTGAGTCGGTGATGCCATCCAACCATCTCATCCTCTGCTGTCCCCTTCTCCTCCTGCCTTCAATCTTTCCCAGCATCGGGTCTTTTCAAATGAGTCAGCTCTTCGCATCAGGTGGCCAAAGTATTGGAGTTTCAGCTTCAACATCAGTCCTTCCATTGAACACTCAGGACTGATCTCTTTTAGGATGGGCTGGCTGGATCTCCTTGCAGTCAACATAGGTAAAAAAAAAAAGTTTGCGATTAGTATAACCTTCAAATGGATACTGTATCATTCTTAAGACTTGATTCTGTTTATGCTCTTAATGCTCAATAAAGTAAAATTGTCTCTAAAATTAAAAAAAAACAAAAAACAAAAAAACCCCATCCACTCCTTTTAGAGGCAGTTTTCTAAACCCCCACTTCAGCTTCTTTCCTTATCAGGTTCTGACAGCCTTGGGTTACAGTATTCAATACCCAACTGCCAGAGGCCTCAGATATTTGACACCCAGGAATGGCCTCTTCTTCAAGCTCTCAGAAGTATTCAAAATTTGCAATCCCTGGGAAGCCACAAAACCTAGCTAACCTCACCCAGCTTGCTATGAAACTACCATTACAGCTCCGGCTTGCTGACCATGCCTCCAGGCGAAAACTCCTATGCGGTCTTGCATGGCATCCTTCTCTAGTTTGGAGTTGTAAAAACAAATTCAGCCTTTCATCCAACTGTCACTGTGCTATGTCTGGCTATCCAAAGAACTTATAATCATACCTAATATCATATAATTATGAAATAACCTGGCTCATGTTAAGAACTCAGTAACTTTTAGCTTGAAAAAAAAGGGCTTTCTATTTCCAACTGATATAAAGTTTTATGTATGCAAATATAGAAAAGACC